AATCAAAGTTTTGAAACTTTCAAAAACAGTGTGTTTAAAAGTTTCGATACTTTCACAAAGTTTCAGAACTTTCTCCAAAGTTTCAAAATTGCATGTCCATGTGGCCTTTATTGCATGTTTTAAAGCTTCCTGTAACACCCCCAACTCGTACCCAACCCGGATCCGAGTCTGAGATGTCACATTGACTTTTCCAACTTTGACTCTTGACAAAATTCAAAGAAAATTCAAAGAACCACTATGTCCCGAAGGACCACAGTTTGTCCCGAAGGACCACTGATAATCCCTCGACTCTTGGCATGCCAACTATACCCCTAGCTCTCATATTACATAACATGCGTATTATCTTTTATACCATTACACATCTTCACATAGCCACATAGCTTTTCACATAACATTTCCATTTGCACATGTAATTACTTAACTTATTTTCACATAGCTCATGCTCCATATTCATATCTCATAAGCACGTAGCTCATATTACTTATATTCACATTACCAATTCACATAAGCTCAGGTATTCACATGGATTATTTCTCATAGCATATCACATAGCTTCTATTCTTTCTCACGTATTCACATAGATCCATGGCATGTAACATAATCCAAATCGTATATAATCACGTAGATCATTTCTTAGATGTTCATGTAAACCTAAATATCATATCTTGTTCTCATATAATCATATATACTTCATATAGTACATAGAAACACCTAGAACACTTTCACATAGCTTATATCAATTTTTGGAGTCCTTTCATATTACTTTATAACATATATCATATATGTATATAATAACTTCTATCATATCATCTACCTTATGCTCTATTTCTTTATATTCCCTTAGATTTCATAAATTATATCGTATTTCTAAACATATGTCATTTAATAGTATTTTATTTATGTATTAATTTAATCTATTTACTTAATTCAATTTCATATATTTATTATAACCTTTTCATATAACTCCATAGATCTTTAGCCTATAATTTATCTTACATATTTGTATCATCGCTTTAAATTTAAGTTTCCTACTTGATATACTATTCCCCTTTCATTTATAATTCAATTTTATTTAGTTCCCTTCACTCTCAATAAATCAAAAAGCTCTATTATACTAATTCTCATAATGGATCATATCACTATGTACTTGTCCAACTCATGTTTCTATTATGCATATAACTGTTAAACATGTTTACCTAGTTCTTATCACTTCTCACGAACTCACTTTCATCATATTTTCCTATTATTACATATTTTATCTCATAACCATGTGTTCACATGGTCTTATATTTCATTATCATATGACTTATATTAGTTCTCCTATGACTCTTCGTAGACATCTATTTTCATTTCCATATATCACTTGACTTATCTTCTTTATTCCTATAATTTCATAACTTATTTTATATTCTTTCATCAACACTTAATAGTGCTTTTACATAAACCATATAGCACATACAAAAACATATTAATTCATATAATCAAACATACATACATTTCATATTAATTATATAATCATGTACTATACTATCGGAAATAGACTTATCGCAAGTCACTTTCCATATAATCCTATGTAATAAGATGCACTCACCTTGGCCTCACTAAGTTCCCATCCACTTTATGGTTTCCTCTCTTTCGATCAAATCTTAACTTGATAATCATTCCGGAACTGGTTCATGTTCGATATCTACATAATCATAGATTGATACATATCAGTATACCATTGATATACTCTAATCTATCATTTCTTATACCAAAAGAACTGTCTATTTCAATTTCCCTTGAAGTGCATCGATGCATTCTACAGTGTACCGATGCATCCCTTAACATGTGCATCGATGCACTCCTTATGCATCGATGCACTGAACAATTTATGGAAATTTACCCTTGATGCATCGGTACATGATGAATGTGTACTGATGCACACTAACCTAGAATTCCAATTTATGCTCGAAAATCCACTATTTTCATCTTAATTACTTCATATATCATCCCCTTTCTTATTCTTAACTTACATACTCATATTCAAACTCATTTCTATTCATTAATCACCTCTTTAACATCAAAACCCTATTCTCTATATGTAATTCAAGAATTACACTAAATTTTCAACATGTTCCAAATTCAATTTTATTACTTCATATCTCTTAATTAGATTGATGACAAGTCAAATTTATCTTCCAACTCTAGTTATGAACTCTATTTCAAGATTTCATCCAAGAACCTCAAATCTTTAATCCCTCTTAACTCCATCATACCTTGATTTTAAGATAACTTAAGCTTTCCTTAAGCTTAGTTATCATCTAATAATCAAAACCCAATCTTAAATTTAACCAAAAACTCAATAATCAGAAAACTCACCTTTGGCTCTTGGTTTTTCACGCGTGAAGAAAGAAAAAAGATGAAGAGAATTCTGGAAACCACTTTATTTCCTCTTCTATTCCACGTGTTTAATATACAACCATATTTCAATATTTTCCTTGCAAATGACACTTTTTCCCTTCAATTCACCTTATAATTATTAACATCGTTCAAGTAATATTTCAAAATAAATCATTAAACTATTTTATTCTTCTACTTTAATCACCAAATTCTGAAACTTTACAATTTGATCACTAACCCGGTATTGAGGATGTTACACTTCCAGCGGCTATAACTCATCATCAACGGTCACAAACGGCTAGCAACTCATTCCACACAATAAAAACACTACAAGAATACTTGAAGAAGGTGACTACACCTATCCAAGCTTAGAGATCAAGTGAAAAAAGTTTTCATTCCTATTTGATTCACTTTCTCTTGTACATAAGTGTATTGAGCTTATTGTATATCTTTTTAAATTCGTTCTTTGTGACCTTAATTCTTGTAAACACCTACCTAGAGAGGTATTCTTTTTTACCCAAAATTAAACATTGTAAAGAGGGAAGAGGTTCTAGTTTAGCCTTTGGAAAAACTAGTGAGTTGTAAAGGTTACACCTTATCCTTGAACGGTAAGAACAAATTAGTGAATTTGTTAGAAAATCCTTAGTGTGGAGCTAAGGTAGTGGATGTAGACTTGGTTGAGAAGTCGAACCACTATAAATCATTATGCCAAATTTTCTATCTCTCATTGCTTCCACACCTAAGATTTTTAAAGGCCAATTCAACCCCTCTTGGCGGTTTTCGGTTGATCGTTTCGAATCTAACAACAAGCCATGGAATATAGTTTTTGATATGATCTCCAAGGCATGCAACAAAATTTCCCTTTAACCTCTTTGTTACTACTTGTTATACTATGGACATAAACTTCGGAAATTACAGGCTTAATTCCAACAGAGAGTTTTAGATAGATTCTTTTATTAAAGGATCCCTAACCTCAGAAAAACGAGAGTGCCACTAACCTTCAAGTAGGTTATGACACATATAATATCTTTAGAAGTGATTTTTTATAAACTCAAATGATATATAAAAACGAAATCCAAAATTTGACTATGAGATATACCTACTAACTTATGGGTAAGCATAATAGTCTTATATTAAAGTTGTCAGCTAGAGCCACTATATATATATATATATATATCTCAATCAAGATCGAGTAACGGCTAAAAATCTTCTCCTTTATAACACCTTTCTTGATTCATTAAAATCTCTTACAGAAAGCATCGAACAACGATAGTTTTCTCGTTGGTTGTCCAAACTAAAAGGGGTGAACACCTACGACCTACAAAACCAACTTGTTCTCACCATTATTATTATTATTATTATTATTATTATTATTATTATTATTATTATTATTATTATTATTATTATTATTATGGACAAATTCTAAATCTAATCCTAAATCTACCCATAGGAGAGGGGAATGGAAGACTCTAGTAGAAGGAAGATGAGTGCTCCTAATGGGTATAGAACTCAAAACCTAAGAGAATATGAGAGAACAAAAATGAGTAGCTTGACCAACTGACCAAATGAACTTGTTCATAATTTTGATTAATACTTAATAGCCTTTTGATGCATTTGTGTATATGTACGGGTAAGCAAAACTCGACTTGACTTGAAAAAACTGAATTTTTTACTCGAATTAACTTCGAGTTGTAATTTCATAAACTCAACTCAACTTGAAAAAAAATTCAAGCTCAAATCGAGTTATAAAATACAACTCGAATAATAATTCAAATAACTCAAAATTTTAGTAATTAGTGTATTGATTTTCAAGTTTGAGTCAAGTCCCTCGACTTTGTATGATATTAGTATATCACATATGAAAAAATATATGAAGAAATATATATGTGTATTGTATATGGTTATAAAAAATTATTTAAATTGGAATAAAATACTATCATAATATTATAAGCATTTATAATTAAATTTAAACAAAAACTCAAAATTTGATTCGAATAGGCTCAAAAAATTTCAAATCAAGTTTGAATTATAGAATAGACTCGTCAATTCATATAACTTAATTTTTTGACTCAACACGACTCGACCAAACGTTGACCCTAATATTAGGTTTCACTCCTTATATGTTTCTAAAGTTATGTTGTATATATAATATGTAATTGAAAAAGAAAAAGTTTTCACAGGATTAATATGAATTCAGCCATTTTTATGTTTGTTTTGGGGACTTCGCTTTAAATGTGCTATGACAACTATTTATTCAAATTGTACTATTAATAATATACATAAATATAGTTTATTCAAATTTAAATTCTTTAAAAGGGAACAATATTTTTTTTTCTCAATAAGATTACTGAATAAGTTTACAAGTCATTGATCTTGATCCTTACTGTTGCAATATAGGTAGTATGGGTTTGAAGATGATACAATTGACTACAGTGGTCGTGGTCGTAGTCGTGCCTTAGCACTGTACCAGGAACTAGTTGGGCCGATACTCGGGCGAGAATCAAGTTGAATACTGGACCGTAGTGGGTCGGTGCAGCCAACCAATTTGATCACCTTTACTCGCACAATAACAATACAAGTAAAAAGAGAACGAAACACGGTGGAATTTGATTTCTCTTCTTCTCTCGTTTGCAATAGTTTTCAACAACCCATAGGGCTTAGAGAGAAGAGGAGAGAGAATTCCAAAGGATGGGAGACGAGAAAGTAAAAGAGGAGGCGATGCGGATCATCGGGATGTTCCAGGTTCTTCCACGTTTGGTGGTTTTCGATCTTGATTACACTCTCTGGCCCTTCTACTGGTTGGTTTTACTCTCTCTCTACTACTTTCCTGGGTTTTCTTTCTTTTATTTTTCCTTTTTTAATATTTTTGTGCATTTTTTACGGAATTGGGGTCGTCTGCGAATCAATACCCACAAGCATTCACCTTTGATCTTATGTAAATCAGGGCGTAATAGTTATTATTACCCGTGTAGCTGATGAACAAATGAATTTCTGAATTTAACGATTTAATTACCATTTACCAATGCTTACACCATTGAAATGAACTTGGGGTTTCATCTGTTTCATCTTGTTTGTATGAAAAGTATGGCTGCCTGTAGTCAGGACAGGTGTAGAGTTATATGTTAAGTGCGAACTTAAATTTCTTTAGGGGAGGTGAACTTATAAAATTCTAGGGGACAAAAACAGATTATCAATTGAAAATAGAAAGAAAATATCTAAAATATATGATAATTTGAAATTTTCAGGGACGACTGCTCCTGCCCCCCTTCCGACCATCCCTTCCTATAGTTTTGGCCTTTGTATCTGTCTCTTGCTTTGTTTCTTTCTATTCCGGACATGAAATGGCATGCTTTTGTTAGCTTGGGTTGACATTTTTAATTGCTAATGTTTATTTAACGTGGTTGATTTGCCAGTGAGTGTCGATCCAGACGTGAAATGCCATCGATGTACCCCCATGTCCAAGGCATAATAGCTGCACTCAAGGAAAAGGGGATCGATATGGCTATTGCCTCTAGGTCTCCTACTGCAGATATAGCTAACACATTCCTTGACAAATTGAACATCAAGTCTTTATTTGTTGCAAAGGTCAGTCAAAATCCTTTCTCATGTTATATATACACTTTCTGTCCTGAAGGATCTTGCAAGTGTTAATCCTTTACTAACAATTGATGTTGCTCCAGCTCTTCAATTTTTCTCGAAGTACCCTTTTTTTACAGTAATAGATAACGTACATTCAAACTTGGATTTTTTAGTATGGCCCTTTCAACTTTATGAAAAAATACCTTATGTTTTTTGAAGTTTTATGTATCAGACATACTTATCCGCACGACACCCTAGTCCGAGTAAAATAGCTTCCTACTTGGGTTTTCAACAGCAGTATATACAGGCCGTGTAGAAAGATGTAGCTAAAATTCTTTGTTCCCGTGTTCTTTTAAATAATAATGCAAGCATAATTTCTTTTAGCATATTCTTACTTGAAAGGTAGACAATAGACCTCTGATACTGAAATGTTAATGGATACTGTTCTTATATATGTATTTTCTTTGTAATAATAGTCAAACAGTAAATTTAGAAGCAGTTGGCCATATACAAGTTGGGCTTTTGTTGCGTATTAACAACATGGTCTGGGGTTCTGTTTGTCAACACATGAATTTCATAGTAATTGAACAAAAATCATTCTTTTGTTTTTTTTTTCCTGTTGCAATCGCATTCAATTATTCTTCTTTTGGACCATTCAGGAAATTTTTTCGAGCTGGACGCACAAGACTGATCATTTCCAAAGAATTCACTCAAGGACAGGGATTCCCTTCAACTCAATGCTCTTTTTTGATGACGAGGATAGGAACATAGAAGCTGTAAGAATGTGTTTTATTTTCTTCTTTTACCTGTGTTCTTTGCTCACCTCATGGTATTCTAAATTACTCCAACTCTTCATATTTCTTAAAGTACGTGTCTAACACTTATATCCGATAAATATCTCGATATGTGGGATATGACCCTTCAAGGACTCAAAGTACTCAACAAAAAAAAAACTTTGAGAGAAAATTGAGTTTACTTGTATTGGATGTATATAACATTTACATCTAAATTCGGATAACGTAGCTGGTATTTCATGGAGTTGGATACTCGGATCTTGTACGTTTATGCATTGTGATTTTAAGAACCTTGTACTCTCTTTGTTATGGTTATTATTGGTCAGAACTGCTTTGGTATCGTATGTTTGTTTCACTCAACAGAATTTGTAATGACAATGGCAGGTCTCCAAGATGGGAGTAACAAGCATATACGTGGGTAATGGGGTTAATCTTGGAGCATTGAGACAAGGGTTAACAGAATTCACTGAAAATCAGAACACATCCGAAAAGAACAAGCAGAAATGGCTCAAAAAATACGCGCAAAATTCAAGTTCGTCTGAGAAGAAAGAACTGAAATGAGTAATTGTTCTATGTTAGTCCTTGGTCTACAATACCAGAAAGAAATCAATATCATTTTCCTGAATTATGTGGAAACTTTTTGAAACCACATTCTATTTATAAATTAAATATGGTCGTATTCGTATATATTCATCGGCTGTTATCTTCTGCAGCACTTCTGTTAAATGATTCTCCCAGTGGTGCAGTTCAGCAATTGTTCTAGCTCTTGCTATGTCTGCTGAACTTGCAGCAATGCTACTATTATGGAATAACCGAGGATATTATGTTCTATTAGGGAAATGGATTATATACTTTTAGATGCAGTTGCTCGAACTTGGATTCTATAAGGAGAACATCATTTCCTTTTTATCACCTATGTCATTCAATGAGTTGTTTAGATTTTTTTAATTGAATGTCATTAAAATGGTTTTTTTGGCCCAATACCCTAAGCGAGTAAATTATTTAGAGTATTGGGCCTACCTAGAGTTTATTTTGGAGAATACGACATTTTTTACAATGTACTCCGAACTTGTCACCTCTGTTGAAATTATTTTTTAAATGGTTCCTGCATAGTGGGTCCCACTTGAGTAATTATTTTATTATTATTAATATGACTTGTCATGTTGAGGTGACGAGTCCATTACAAATATTTTTTAATAAAAAATTTTAAAATGAAAATAAAATTAATAAATTTAAAAAAAAGAGTTAGAACTCATCAATTCGATGTGATGAGTTTTTTAAATTAAAAAATACTAGTCATTTTCTAGCTGTTGGGTAACGGTCACTTGAAACTTGTCACCTCAAGGTGGTGAGTTTGGTTAGATTTTCAAACCCATTAGTTATTTATAGTTGTTGGAGGCAAGATTATAAATAACGGTTTGGGGTTTTGATTTTTCACTAAACCCTGAATCAAAAAAATTATAAAAAAAATCATATGTTCTGTTAAAATCTCGAAAAATGACAACCTGAGAATATATGTTGCGATTAGATAATGTTCATGTAAGTGGGAGATTACAACCATAGAGTCCCATCAACAAATGATGACATATCTGCATCAATCCAGTCTATTTTCGACTATATTTTTACATGGCTTCAAGCTGCCTGGCGTTGATTGAGACTTTGATCGAACTTTGGCGGCCCTAGGCGCACACGTTCCACTTCCTGAGTGGTGGAGTGACGATTACTTTGGAAGACGTCTATTACCAAGTCGTTGTTCCTGTGAATGGAGCCCCGTGGTGAGTTAGAACATGTACGACCACGCGACGTTGGTCAACCAAGTTTTAGGAAAATGGCTACCATCCAACGTCATGAGGGGCTATCAGGTAATGATAACATGGTTGGAGTCTGAATTTGAAGTAACTATCGAGTTGACCGAGGCGTAGGTTGTTTTCGTGTCCCAAGCATTTATTATCCAACTGATCGGAGAGATATTATTACTGGATAAATCTGGTAATTTGGCGCACACTTAGTATCTGCGATATTTGGAAGACTTCGATGTGTACCGTAATAACAGTTGGGGCTAGGCGATTTTAGCCTTTCTATATCAGGAGTTTTGCAAGGCTGTAAGTCTAGTCGGGTCGAAAAGACGATGTAGCAGGCTGTTTGATACTGCTATAATCGTGGGCTTGGTATCGATTCCCATTTTTGATGTCGATTACACCAGCCCCGGTCGAGTTTCCGTAAGCTGCAAGGTATTGTTTAATTTCATTTATTTAACCTTTTTTGAATTTCATAGATTTATTTATTTTATTTGTTTATAATATTTTTTAAAAATATTTTATATGGCGTCATAAAATATCAGAGACGAAGTTGGTGGGTGTCATTGCACGAGACATACAGATGATGATTGACATCACCGGTAGATATACGGTATGACATACGAAATTATTATTATTTTTTTGAATCTTTTTAACTTTATATATACTAACTTTGATATTTAATATTTACAGTTCTCTTGGCTTTCGTTTGTTGACAACGAGAGATCAACCAGTTATTGCTGACGCGATTTTTTAAGGGGTCTCACTTATGGTGTGTCGTGACGGCGTTGTTGCACCAAGCAATTATTGAGTGACACACCACTAATAGAGTGATGCTACAGTTTGCGTCGCACCAGCCAATTCTTACGCCGTAAATGGTTGATATAGATGCGCTCCATGCAATCGATACGCATGAGAAACATACCGAAAATTGACCGGTGAGGCACGCTTACTTCATCGGCCTATGGAATCCGTGTAAACTATCGATCTCCCCGCGTGAAGACATTACACCGCTGGACCTAGATTTCGACCATTCTCCCTATCTCCAAACTTATGAATCAAATGAGAAATCATATCTGACGACACTAGAAGAGATGAGAGAATGACAACATCATCAAGCCGCATTCGCCAAGTCGAAGTCCAAGTCTAAAAAGAAAGCATCGTTGTCGTCTTCTTCCGCTTCAGCATCTACACCTGAAGAGTACTATTATACATCTCAGGCTAGTTTCAGTTTTTATCCTCTATTTCATACTTCAGCCGAGACTCAACTGAATTGGGTTGGAGGTTCATGAGATGCACCGCAATACACTCAAGCATATTCGTCAGAGCATGCAGTTACGGGTGAGTGGGATCATATCTGTAACATCCTCAATACCGGGTTAGTGATTAAAGTGTAAGATTTTAAAATTCAATGATCAAATTAAATAAATTGAAAAGTGAAGGAATTAATTAAAAGATGTTGGTGTAGGATGAATTAATAAGTGAATGAGAAGTAAAAGGGTCATTGAACAAATAAAAAATAAAATAATAATTAGTGGACATTATAATACTCATGTGAATCATAATTGAGGAGATAAGTTTCCAACTTATCTTCTTCAACTTCTTCTCTTCTTCTAACCGTGAAGCCTCATAGCCAAGGTGAGTTTGATTTCTTTTGGTTAATCCTTCAAATTCAAACATGGTTTTGATTCATGAAGATTTAGGGAAGATGATAGAGATGAAAATGGTTATAAAAACTCAAAGATTTGTAAGTTATGAAGGATTAAAGATAGGAAATGGATAAGTGAAATTTTGAATAAGGATGTATAAATGGATTTAGAAGTTGAATTTGACTTGTCATAAGTGTGAATAATAAGTTATAAGTGTTGGAAATAAGTGCGGATTACATGGAAAATTTTGTATGATTCTTAGCCTTAAGAATTTGGATGAAATAAAGGAGATTATATGAACAAATAGTATTGATATGTCACATAAGATTTCATGTCCATGTTTTAATGTAATATAGGGAATTAAGTCCAATGATAGTGAAGTATGTGAATATAGTATATGTGTTATGCAACATGTGACAATAAGATGTGAATTATAATGAAAGGATTATATGAGTTATATGAAAAACATGGTTCAAAGTTATGTGATTTCATGATCACAAAATATAAGTTATATGAGGTGAATGATATAATAAGAAGCTATGTGATAAGAAGATATGAGTTTATGTGATATAAAAGTGTATATGTGAAATAACATGATAGGTGATAAAATCGTAAGCCTATATGATTATGTGATATATGTTACATGATATGACATGCGAGTTTACATGAACAAATGAGAAATGGTATAAGCCATATGAAACGATCTACGTGAATATATGTGTCGGAACCATCTTTCGGTTGGGTCCAGAATTGGGTTTCGACGTTGATTAAATGCTTTAGAGTCGCCACCGACCATTTTAAAACGAATTTAGGTAGGTCAGACACCATCATAACTGATATGCGTTTACCAGAAACGTGTCGGGTTCGGGAGTCGGTTACGGTCACGGAAGGATTATCACCCTTGAACCTTCCTTTCGGTACCAATTAATTTTGTCGGTTGTCTTTATTTGCGAAAATTAAAATTTAAATTGAAATTTAAAAATTCGGTTCGAATTGCTTACCTTCGATTGATTGAAAAACGTACCCTTAAAAAGTCAAAAATGTTAGATAAAAAATAATAAATAAATATTAAATGAATCAAAGAAAAAATAAAATAAAATAATAATAATAATAATAAATTTAAGATTTTAAAAGTAATAAAATAAACAAAAGAAAAGAAAAGAATAAACCCATGGCTTACTTCACGTGGGCACCCAAAACAAAATTAATAAGGCATTAAAACATGGGTCCCACTTTGCTTTGTTATTTCTCCTTTCTTTCACTCTTTTCTGCTTCTGGTCGTACCAAACAAATACTTGTTGGTCAAGGTTCAATTGATGCCACCATCCTTCGAAAAGGCAATCGGTAACACGAATTCAAAACCAGTAAAATACTTGGAATGCTTCCTAAAACGTTGATCTTGTGTAAACCAAAGAACCAAATGCTCAACAGAAACAAATGAATTCACATACTCCTTGTACGCCCTAGCGCGCTGGATCAAAGCTTCCAGAACTCGTCCTAACATTGAGCCAGCCGACTCACCCAAATCCTTTGGTTGTCGTTGGATGAACTTATCAGTGGCTTCAAGAAGGTATCAACAACTTGAGAGTTTTATAATTAAGCATGCAGGGACCTTTGTGCTTTATAATCCACAAGCAACGATTACACAGCCTGGAATCCCTGTTTTGCTCATAAATGTCGAACCAGTGTGATTCTCCATTCCACTGTATTTTGCAGAAAAACAAGGTGACTCCCCAGAAATGTGGGTGGAATTTGAACTCAAAGCGGTAGTGGTACGGTAGGACACGGACGCCGAGGTCGTCGTTCTTTGATTCGCAATGGATGTTGATATTCGTCCCGACGTGCACGTCGTTGTAGACTAATATATCCGCTTTGTGTAACAAGAAACCCGCATCGCTCGCAAAGAAAAGCAGCGTTAGAGACAACAACCAGCAGGCACTGTTTATCGACCGTGATTAATGTTTGCTTTTACAAAACAGAATAAAAGCTTATAAAACGACCGTGGTTCCTCTTGTGTTTTGTTGATTTCTTGAGTTTCTGGGTATGAAAGTAGCCACTAGGGTTTTTTGTGATGCAGTAGAGAAAGATACGGGTGATCCGATATGCATTTGGTTATGGAGTTTGGAGAGGGTTTTACACAACAAAAGCCTTGGAGCATCGGTTTCCCTCTGTCCTTTTTTTTTCTCCCTGCCAATCTCAAGTTTCTTTAAATAAATAGCAAGGCTCCCCCTGATCTAGATTTCCACCTTCTTTTTGAGAGAGAAAAACGTGCGAAGTGGGTGGTAATGGTTGGGTAGTGGTGAGTGGGTAGTTTGTAGTTGGAGTAGTTAGTAGATTTATTTGGGGTTGATGCTTCACGTGATTAACTGCAAAACATATGTAAAAAATAATAATTAATAATAAAAAAATAAAAATAATAAT